AACCACACAAAAATTCTGTTCACACCACTACTAACAACCCATAAATAGTAGTCACCATAACAGCAATGTAACCACTCGAGCAACCACACACAAACCCTCTTGAAATGGTTCAGTAGAGGGTAAACACCACAAGCACCACCACACGACTAGGGCTGTCACACATGGTGACAGCAGTATTAGGCTGATATCTTAGGGTTGCCGCACCTTTCTAATACTTGTAATAGGGATTGCGGCAGTCCTAAAAAAAATTAATAACAGATGCAGCAGCTTTCAGATTGTGTACCCCGGATTCGCAGCCCAGAGAAGAAGAAAAAAGAAGAGGGAGAAAGAACTTGAAGTCACAGGATGGAAACCTTGAAGTCACAGCCTCCTCCTCCTTCGTTTATGGCTCTGATACCATGTTTAACATCTGTGCTAAGGAGTTCGAACCAGTAGAGAGAAGGGAGGAAGAAGAAGAACAAGGAAGAAGAAGAACAGTCGATTCTGATGGGGTAAACCCTATCAGTCGACCATATTTTACATTAGCCTCTAATTAGTTGTATAAAGACTAAACTGCCCCCACTTAAAGTATGGGACAGAAAGTCTATTAAAACTGCTACATAAGCACATAACTTAAAAGAAATAAAATGACTAATCTACCCTTATTTGGCTAGCTCTAACACCTTACATTAGCAAAATCATGGAAAATTTCTGTATTCTTATCTCCAGCTCACCTCTTCCCTCTGAATTATTCCTTCCAGTTCACTTTCTAGACCCTCTCTCCAAATTCCTTGAGAATTTGTAATGTTTCATTAATCTGAACCCTGATGAATCTTCCACTTGCATGCCACACTTCTCCACCCACTCCCAAAAGCTTGGATGGTCTAACCACTTGTTCTTAAAACGAAAGGGTCTAGGACCTGCCACCTCCACAAACTTCCGCAGAAATGGATTTGAGATCTGATATAAAAGAAAGGTAAAGACGCTTGGACCATATCATCCACTTCTTCAATCCAATCCCCTAACAACAAGAATCTTTCCAGCTGTTTTAGTATTGCCGGATGCTGTCCATTTGTCCAATTGAACCTTCCACTAGTTAAAGGTGGGTCAACAAGCCCAAATGAAATGATGAAATTCCCAAACCTCCTTATCCCCACACTAACTCTTCTCTCCCTCCCCCCTTTCATCTCATTCATCCTTTGCACAACATTGAAATCCCCCTCCTCGCAAACCCATGGACCTCCCACATCTACCTTTCTCCAACTCCTCCCCGAAATACCCCCTCCTCCCTTCATTTGGCCCATGGACATCTGTCAGACCCAACACCACTTGGAATACAAGAGACCTCTCCCACCTCCTCCTGGATTCTCATCATGTCTAACTTGTTCCACGTTCTATTTCTGTTGTCAGAATCAAGGAATTTCTCACAGCACACCCCAATCTCTTGAAAGGTAAAAACACTTCATGCATGCAAGGGAATGCCCACCACTACTAACCACACTGCACTACTTCTCTTCGACTCATAAATTGCCACCCAAGACTTTAAATTTTATATATCCAGAACCCAATCCACTGCTTCTTTACTGTGGAACATGAACAGAAAAAGACTGCCATTGAGTGTTCTCACGCCCATCACCCTTTCCTTTCCCCATTCCAAAGCCACCCAGGCTTCAATCCTCTTGGCATCCAACTCACTTCCCACAAATCTTCTAACTGGACTTGATTGAAGGAATTTCATCCTCCATCTTCCCCACCTTAACATCAACTCGAAGCACCACAGACTTTACAATCTTCTCCCAACCCATGGTGATAGTTTCAGCAACTTCCTTTAAGCTGAACTCAGGAACAACGTTTGACATTTGTTCCTAGCTGCTGAGCTCAGCTCAGGAACTTCCCTTTCTTTGATTGTTTCATGATGATGATAGATACAGCATAATTCCCAGACTTTTGAAGGTCTTGTAGAGAACAAAACCTATTCTATTTTACTTTTTCCCCTACTAAGCACTGAATAAAGTTTTTTTTTTTTTTTTTTTCTGTTTTTACCATATCTAGTAGATATAGTGGAGGTAATTCTTGCTTCATCTTTTATTTCATTTTTTTTATCAATAACAGAAATCTTCATTGGATTCAATTAAAAAAAATTACAAGTAAGCGGAGGGAGGTAAACTGTTTTAACTCCTCCATAAATCAAGAAAAGGAAAAATACAGAGTTAGAAGTAAGCTCAAAACAAAGAATTCCTATTCGCCCCTTACTTAGCTAGCCCAGCAGCAATGGAGTTTTCTGTTCTTTTCACCTAGCTGTACTTTATTTCAACATCCCTTGCCAACCAGTTGAACTTTTTCCTCTCGTTGCTGTATTTCCATATTCAGACTTATCTTCATCTTTTATTTCTTAACCATAGCTGCAAGCTATGTTAAAATCAACAGAAAAATAATTCTTTACTTTGTTCTCAATGGGTGGGGTGGGGGGGAGGTTGTGTTCTCTAGAATATCTGTTGTCACACTTTTATAGACCCTTCCCACTCCTACTTGTATTGAAACTTTAAACAAAAATATGTTGAGACTTTCTTTTCAAGCTTGGACATAACTCCCTAGTTATATTAAGTATAAGAAACTAGAAACTTTTAAAAATAATAAGTTGTCTTTTACTATAAAGATTAGTAATGATAATTACTATAAATACTAATGGGATCAACTAGTTAACTTGTTGACTGGGACTTTGATCCTGACTTGGAGAACCCAAAACTCAGTCATTTTGAAGCCTTTAGTTGGGGAACTTCCACATGTCAGATTGAGCTAAAAATCTACAATATTTGATTACTATAATGCCACCAAATTTCAGCTAAATCAACCAAGATTTGACTGGTCAAACAATCATTTGTCTTGTCAATGATGCATTCTGCAGGTCTACCATCTGACACTTTCTCTTCAATTTCTTTCTTTGCTTCAATATTTGCTTTAGGGGGGAAAACAGAGAATATCGTTGTTTTCCAAGGATGCTATGGTCATTTTGCGTTCACTGTAATCATTGTAATTACAAAATATTAGGGGTATAACTGTACTTGTAATTCATGAGTTTATAAGTTAATGAAGTAATTGGTCTGTGATTGAGGATTGAAAACATGCCCAATTTACTCATCTTTCTCTCTCTACTATTCTTCTCCATCTCATTCTATTCATTTTTCATTATTCTTAATTATTGTTTCATTGATCAAGGTTTTTTTTTTATAAGATTTTGCTTTTGTGTTTTGCAGAATATAAAAGCATGAAGCATGTTTTGTGTTTTTACCATGTGCTTCGGCAGTTTGGTAAACATTGTTTTCAAATCAAGCTTTTCAAAGTAAAAGCATAAATCAGTGTTTTGTTACAACATGTTGCTGTATCACATGTAACATGATAAATTCCACGTGTCAACTTGTTTTTCGTTGAAATTTGAAATATAAAAATGTCACGTAGCCCATAGTTGTGCAATGGCATATGTTTTCCATGTTTAATGGACATCAAACTTGGCATATATTTTTCCACATGTCACAAATTTGCCATATGGTGTGTATATTTTGTCATGTGTCACAACTTTGCCAAGTGGCATATAATTTGCCATGCTTACAAATTTTCCATATGGCACATATCTGTCATATGTCACAAATTTTTCCATGCTGCAGATATTTCTTCACATATCACAAATATTTCCGCATGACATATTTTACCATATTCACATATTTTTCCATGTGTCATGACGGGCATCAAACATGACTTATATTTTTCCATGTGTCACAAATTTTGTCATACAACATATATTTCGCCATGGGTGCATCTTATTGTGCTTATATCAAACATGGTAAGGTTGCATACATTTTGCACCTTACTGTATTTATGAAAAGCATATTTGGCTCAATGTGCATAGCAGAAGTATGAAGTAATCCCGAATGACTTTATGCTATTGTTGCAGATTTGCTTTTGTTTTCAGTGCATCTACTTCTGAAAGCACACTTAACCAAACTTCACATCTCTTTTTCTATTTGCTGCCAAGGCACAAAAGTATTTCAAAAAAGCTTATCCAAACACAACCTAAAATGCCACAAAACCACAAATATCACAAGTATGGATAAACTATGGTGGTGATTTAATGTGACAAGATGGCCAAATGCCAATTGCTAGAGCTGCTCATGTATAGCTCTCCCAAATGGGGACTTAATATTAGATATGCTTTATTCTTCATTGTAATCCTAAATTTCTTTTTGGAAAATATTGATGTCTGCATTCTCTGGTTTTTCCTCTTTTGTCTCACAGAAAATGCTAAATTTTATTTGGGTTCGACTATGATACCAGAAAGACATGATGCTGGAAAAAACTTCCAACCAATCAACCGGTGTCATAACAAAGTGACCAATCCGATGGTATTCATCGTAATTCAGGGGGTGCTTTGATTGGTCAAAGCTCTTTCCGGTATCATAGAGATTCCCATTTTATTTTTTAAAAGTTGCGATCCTATTCTTAAGACATTTGGCTGGTTCATTCTCAAGTATTCAATGCCTTATATAGTTGGTTTGCATTGCTATTTCAGTGGAGGAGAGGATTGAAACTTAGTGGTGAAAGTGCAGTTGAAAAATGTACTTTAGATGGTGTACGGGGTCTGCGTATTATGCTTGGTGCAACTGTTCATGATGTGTTATACTACATGAGCCCAATCTACTGCCAGGATATAATCAACTCGGTATGTGTTACATCTTGAAATTCTCTACTGGTTCTCTTTTCTTTTCTTTGTATAGAAACAGGATATTACTTGGGAATCCAATTGGGCAAAGGGCAGACCTTACTACCCAAATCCAACAGCATTGTCTCTTAGGTTCCGTTGGTCCATCTGTTATCAATTCCATCACAAGCCTACAGTTTTTTTTCACAGAAATCATCTGGAAATATATAGAAGTTTCCAATGTAATTCCCTGGATGAAGATAGTGAATCATCCTTTAATCACCTATTGCTGATTGGTGCATGATATACTAGATCAAGCACTCCATCACTTTCTCCGAATCATTGTGTTTATTATCAGTGAGATTTGGTGAAATTTACTGAAGCATCGCCCTCTAATCTAGGGGGCAGTACAAAAGAGTAGAATATTGTTTCCCTTATATCACTGAAATATCTGTGATATTTTGAAACTAAGTGAGACATTTAATGTAAGGGATAAGATTCTTGTTGGACTTATCAAAACCTCAATTGTGAACAGAGAATCAACGGGAAGATTTGTTTACTAAAAGTCTGAGTTGGGGAAGAGTGAATTACATATGTAGCAAGCTAGGATTATATGATATATATTCTCCAGCTTGAGGGGGAGTGTTAGCAATCAACTTATTAAGGGCATTTCTGTCATTTCATCAAGTTTTATATTATGTAACTTGATTGTTATGTCCTACGTTAAGTGCCCCTTAAATCAGGAGCACAATGATCATTGTACATATCCTTAGTAATCTATAAATACTGGTCGACTGGGACAGGAGATGTTAATTGATCCCAATTTACCTTGGTTCTTTCTCTTATTTTTCTCCTCTTTCTTCTTTCTCCGTTTTATCTTATTTTTCCTTGCTTTTTTCTAATGGTTTCTATGTTTTCTATACATGATAACATCTATAATTTTTACAATATTTCCATTACGTTTCCGACATCTCTGACATGTTTCTTATATTTGGATCACTGATATTCCCACCAACACCAACATTTTAAACCTTGATGATCACCTTGCAGGCTATATTTCTGGACCTGATCCTTTTTCTTTTTTATTTTTTGTGGTCATTGAGAGTGGTGAGAGGGACCTTATAAACAATTTGGTGAAACATTGAGGTGCAATATTTCTGGACCTGATCCTATGGGGGTGAACTTCCCAGTGAGAGAAATCTGGTCTAAACCGATCCCTCCAAAAGTACAAGCTTTCTGTTGGGAAGTGTTCCTAGGGAAGGTAAACACTTGTGATGTRYTACAGAAAAGGAGGCCAAMCAATTGCCTCTCTCCTCATGTGTGTGTCCTTTGTTTGGGTTGTGGTGAAACCCTAACCCACTTACTTTTATCCTGCTCTTTTGCTTCTGGTATTTGGAATGTTGTTTGTTCTCTCTTTGGATGCAGGTGGGTTTCCCCACAGGATGTGGTAAGTCTATTCAGCCCCTCTTTCCTGTGTCAATAGAAGAAAAGAGGAAAGTGCTTATGGAAGGCAGTAAGAGCAGCTACAGTATGGTCTAGCTAGATAAGGGGTGAACAGACATTCTATTTTTTGGGCTGTCTTGTAATTTTTGTTCTTTTGATGCTTAATGGTTGTTCTTGGGAGCTAAGATGTTTTAGCCCCCTTGCCCTGTAATTTTCTCATATTTTAATATTAATTCAATCCACAGTTATTGATAAAAAAAAAGAGCAGCTACAGTATGGACTATTTGGGAGGAAAGAAACCTAAGAATTTTTTCTGGAAAAAGCAAAACAAAGGAGGAAGTTATTGAAGCCATAAAAATCAGAACTGCACATTGGGTGAAGACCATGGAGATATTCAGAAACTACTCCACGAATGAGATCCTAATAAATTGGGCTGAAGTAGCACAAACAGATGCACCCAAAGTAGTTGTATGGAATGGAAGCTACCGACACTGAACAAACTAAAACTGAACTTTGATGGGAGTTCTCTTGGCAACCTTGGAAGGGTAGGCATTGGGGGTGTGTTTAGAAATCATCTGGGTGTGGTGTTGGCACTCTACTCAGGACCAATAGGTTTTGGTGACTCAAATACAGGCTGAATCTCTAGCCCTACTTCAAGGTCTAAAGATGACTGAGCAGATAGGAACAACAGACTTAGAAATAGGAGACTCACTATTGGTTATTTCTTGGGCAAAAAATATCACATCAGTACCTTGGAAGCTCAAATTTATCTTCAGAGAAATTGACATACTTGCAAGGAGGATCAACTCTCAGTTTGGTTTGGCCAAACGGGATGCAAATGGGATGACGGATACCCTAGCAAAACAAGGGGCAAATAGATCTTCATTGTATTGGACAGAATTGTAACTGATTGCTGGAGATGGCAGTTTAGATTAATGTCTCTCTGCAATCTTTATCTATTGTAACTGAATTTCTCTGTTATTAATGAAAATTTCTTGCTGATCAAAAAAAAAAAAAATAGTTGAGATTGATGCCAAACAGATGGAAATGATAACTCTCCTTCAAGGTCAAAAGATCATGAGGTTTTTGAAGAATCTAGATGCAGAAAGAAGATTTAGTAGCCATAAGAATACTCGAACAGTTCAAGTCTCAACAGTCATTAAAGATTGAAAGGAGGTTTATTTGGAATTGGGCCTACGAAGAAGGTGAAGAAGTCAAAGAAGAGTAGTAGAAGAAAACTGTGTGGCTCCGCATTATGTTTTGTCCGAGGTTTTTCTTGTAAGGTGTTTCTGGTGCTTGTTTCTTTTGTTTATCTGGGGGAGTTGTTTGTGGAAGGAGGCAAAGCTGTTGTTTTGGGGAGTTTGAACTTTCTTTAGTTTTGTTGTTGTAGTGGAGTTCAAGGTTTTTTCTTTTACTTTTCATCTCCTGGGTGATCACTGATCTCCTTCTCTGTATTGTCTTTTTTTATTTTGATAAATATTTTCTTCTTTCTTACCAAAAGAAAAAACCTCTCCTTCAAGAATCTTAAAATCAAGGACTGGTTTGCATGACTCTTGTGGTTGAAGAAAATTTGAGGTCGAATTTCTATATGTAAGCATAATATGGCCAATTTTTAGCCAAATGCCCTTTTTTTTTAATCTGTATGTGCTAGATAAAAGTTTTTTTTTTTTTAATTTCTTAATGTTTCCATTTATGGCCTCATTAATAGAGCTTTAAATTGAATTTGGAATACAACATCAATCATGTATAGCTTTAGACGAACAATTTGATCCAAAGGTTCACTTTTGATCAATTCAAAAGGTAAATAGGGAGTTGAATGTTCACTGATTGTTCTCACACTGTTTACGGTGTACTCTGAGAAAACAAAAAGAAAAAGCATGATTACTGAAGGATTATTCTGGAATCTGGATTAATATATAATAGATACAATATAATTTCTGGGGTGAACAACACTCATAGCTACATGCACATTGTGTTTCCTTGGGAATCAGGAATATGTGGGAAAAATGCAGAATGCTTTTCAATTTGACTTTCAATTCATATATGTTTAGCCAGATTTTCCTTATATTTAAATAGTTGTATTCAAATTATACTTCATTAATGATAAAATACTGCAATTCATATATTTTTCAGTTATCCAGTTTGCATTTGGAAACCTGTCATTTTGACTAAGATCAATTATTTCCTTCTCTTCAGGTATCTAACCAGTTAAACCGATTATATACCAAATTTATCAAGAGGAATCCTGGTTATGATGGAAAGGTATTCATATGTTGAACATGTCTTCTTTGAATCTCATATTTCTCCTATGTACAAATCTGAAATTTACATGTTATTTTTCTTTTTACTTTTGTAGGTTTCTATATATGGTCATTCTCTTGGGAGTGTTCTCTCTTATGATATCCTTTGTCATCAAGAGGATTTGTTATCCCCATTTCCAATGGAGTCTATGTACCGAGAACACAGTAGGAATGAAGAACCTATTTCTGATTCAATTAATGATTCTTTTAAGTGTAAATTATCCAATATAAGCCCTATTATAAATAATACCACTTTGAAGAGCTTCAGAGATACCATCGAGGAAGAAAGATTAAATTCAGTGCCAACTGTATTATTTCCAGAGGAAGTAGCTAAAGATCCTTCCGTAATTATGCCCCCCCTGTCAGACACAAAAGAATCTTCCTCAGGGACATCCAGTGAGCATTCTCATGTCTTATTTGCAGAGAGTAGGGATTTTGAGAAACAACTTGAGACATCATTATTGGAAGATGCTGATGGAAAGTCTGATTGGGAATCCAGTGATATGCATTCTGGAGTAGGAAATGTCTTGGGCCATAAAGTTCCTGTTGACAATTTGTACAATTTGGTCAACAATGCACCTGAAGATACAAGTGAAAAAGACAAAGTAATCAAATTGCTGAGGGAAGAGGTACAGAAAGTGTTTATTTTATTATCATTAACAGAGCAATGGACTTTAATTATATAACAGTATAAATAAAGCATAGGTATAAATCACTCCTTTAATCATGAAAAGCTGAACCAATGTGGCCAGCAACCTTTTACATTCTACAACTTCCAAGGTTTAACACCTTGGTACAAATTAGCCTGTTTTGACCCTGCCCTTGCCAATTGTTTTGGAATGGTAGAATACTGATATGTTTCATTCTATTGCCAATGGACATATTTATACAGTAAGCTGCTGCAATAAATAGAAAGAAAGAAAAATAGATAGAAAAGAAAATAGAAAGAAGAAAAAATAGAAAGAAGAGAAAATAGAAAGTACAAAAATAGAAAGAAAGAAATAGAAAGAAAAAACTTTCTAAATCAATCCTTCCACAATTCTAGGAATATATACAATTCTAT